AAAAGAATAACGCAACCTCGACTTAGTGGAGTGCAAAGTGCACGAAAATACCACAAGTGAAGACAACGATCGATTTATATGGGCCAGCGTAATGACTAACAGGCTTGGTACGACTAACATTAGTGTGATCGGCTGAGGCGAGACGTGACAGCGCTGAATGGGACCGAATCGGATATCACTGGTACATTCGTGGGGAAGACATTCACGTACTCATCCGTGAAACGCATAACACCACGCTGCTGAGGCGTGAGAGCCATGAGTACTTGAACGTCTGGCGTAGCGCAGATCCGAATAATAACAGTGCTATACGGAGTTCTGGTGAACTCGTCGATACAATAGCACGATGCGATTTTTCACCTCGCATTGCCAAGAAGGAACGATGGGAGCATGACGTCGTGTATTCCAATATCGGTCTCGATACTTGTGGAGCACATTGCGATTCAGGTGTCCCCGTAGTTCAGCCCGTATCTTTGGGTTATTCCATTCATCTGCACAGACTCAACTCGACTCAAACCTTTCGTCCAAGGTGTTGTATTCCACTTACTGCCTTCAAGGCTCACCAAGCAATACTTTGTTGCCTGAAAACGTACGCTGCGTAGTGACAGTAGATGTGCGATCGACGTCACGCATGTCGCACACGGCACGTGCAGCTGTCCACTCATGTTAATCCTCTCTTCGTGCTGAACTCATAGCTCTATACGGAAAGAAGTCGCAAGTAACGTGCAAACAACTCGTGAGTAACGAGTCCTAACGCAGTGTCTTTTCACTGAATCACACTCATCCTTCAGTATTTGCAACACCACTGAATTTACTTTATTGAACGCGGTATCATCGGCGCCTATAAATCATAATTGCGCCACCTATTATTTTCAAGATAGGCGTCATGGTCGAGTGATGCGCGTGATACGAAGCCAAGGATGATGAAAGGGGTAAATGTAAAACGTTCAACGTTTCAGTGCTTTCGTCGGTCGATATTGGTCTTGTGTTAGGTGAGTTTGGACATCTGTATCCGATTTCATGGATCTGAACTTCTTCTGGTATACCTCAATACTATTAGTCCACCTAGTCGGGGCCACTATGCCACCCCACTATACCTCAATACTATTAGTCTACCTAGTCGGGGCCACTATGCCACCCCACTATACCTCAATACTATTAGTCCACCTAGTCGGGGCCACTATGCCACCCCAATATATACCTCAATACTATTAGTCCATCTAATCGGGGCCACTACGCCACCTCAATATATACCTCAATACTATTAGTTTACCTAGTCGGGGCCGCTATGCCACCCCAAGATATACCTCAATACCATTAGTTCACCTAGTCGGGGCCACTACGCCACCCGTACTATTAGATCCTCTAGTCGGTGCCACTATACCGCCCCGAGATATGCCTCAGTACTATCAGTCACTCGATCGGGACAACTATACCACCCCAAGATATACTTCAGTACTCAGTGCACGCCAAAGCATCACATCCCGAGAGATCCGCGAACCTAGCTCAGGTACTTCAATACTCAACACAACATAGATGTTATTCTCCCTCCATCACAGTTATCTCCAACAATGAAACTGTGGACATATAATCTTTCCTATCACTGCAACAATTGGTATCTAGTGGCAGCAGTCTGACTAGCTTCAGCAGCATCTAAGCGTACAGGAGCACCTTTCTGAACTCTCGGTACGATTCATCAATTCTACCAGAAGACCTGCCAGTGTCTAGGCAACCGGACAGGTCGAGAAGAAGTCGACTGCGCGACGAACAACAGCAGCAACAATAGCACGGCAGCAGATCGGCAGGAGTAAATACACAGACCATCAGTAAAGAGCGTCTGAAGGTCCGAGGACACTCCAGCTACTACTGTATGATGGGGATCAAAAAGTCTATTATATCATCTATGAAATGAAGGCAATCGAAATTCACATCAGCCATATGCGGAAAATGGAGAGCTTGATGTTACGTCACAGAATTACGCAAATTATCACCACAAGAA